CAGTGCTCCAATTGGAGCTTGACCAATACTGCGTAGAGGGGAAGTATTACCCCCCTGGACCTGTTTGTCATGCACCTGCTAGTGCACGATGAAGTGCAATTAGCTTTACTGATTGCTTCGTCGCATTGACGACTCATGTTCATCTTAGAGTCAGTAATGGCTCTGAGATCCCTTTCCACTGCTGTGCTGCTGAAAGGGTCATCCCCCAGCCTGTAAGTGTGTTGGTGATTCCTTCTCCCTAGGTGCAGCACCTTGCACTTGTCCTTACTGAGCTTCATCCTGTTCTGTTCCACCCACTCTTCTAACCTGTCCAGATCCACCTGGATTCGTTCCCTATCCTCTAGTGTGTTAAATTTACCCCATAATTTGATATCATCTGCGAATCTGGGCAGAGTGCTTTCCACGCCCTTATCCAAGTCACCGATTAAGACATTGAATAGCACTGGTCCAAGGACCGAGCCTTCTGGGACTCCAGGTTGATACCAGCCCATCCACACCGCTCTCTGGGTGCAACCCCTAAGCCAATTTGCCACCCACCTGACTATGTAATCATCTATGTCCCAGCCACTCAGTTTATCTGTGTGAATATAATGAGATACCGTGTCGAAGGCGTTCTTAAAATCCACGTAGATGACTTCCACCATGATTCCTGTGTCTTAGCATTTTATGACCTGGTCATATAAAGAAATGAGGTTAGTCAGGTAGAATCTACTTGCTATGAACCTATGCTGTTTGCCCTTTAGCATTGCTTTCCCCTCTGGACTCCCACAAATGTAATCCTTAATTTTTTTCAAAGGTCTTCCTGAGGATAGAGGTGAGATTAGTCAGTCTGTAGTTACCCGGATCCTCCTTCCTCCCCTTCTTGAAAATAGGGGCCACATTGGCCCTTTTCCAGTCCTCTGGGACCTGACCTGAGCACCATGAATGCTCGAAGAGCCGTGCCAGCAGCTCTGCTATGACGCTGGCCAATTCCTTCAGCACCCTTGGATGAAGATCACCCGGGCCCGCTGATTTGAACACATCCAGCCCCTCCAAGTGTCTCTTCACTAAATCAGTGCTAATGGTTGGTGGGCTGGTTTCCCTTTTGTGCCTGTCTGTGATTCAATTGGGAGATTTGTCTTGCTCTGAATCCAGGAATAATGAAGCAAAAAATTCATTGAAGAGCTCAGCTTTGTCCCCTCTATATTTTCATAGTTGTTAGGGTCGGAAATCACCCTATCTGTCACGAATTGCCCTAGTTTGTCCCGTAGGGGTCCTATGCTACCCTGCACCTTCTTTTTGCTCCCTATATACCTGAAGAATGACTTTTTGTTGTCTTTAACATTTAAGTCCCCCAATTCGTGCCCTTGTTGCCCCCTTGTCCTGATGCCCATCCGGCCCCTTAGTACATACGTGGGCTGTTCCAGCATATAGCTTGTGGCTTATTGATCCTAGGTTCTCTCTGTTGTCTGCATCCCTGTCCCCCAATTAACCTAGTTTAAAGCCCTGCGTAGGAGATCAGCTAACCTGTAAGAGAACAGACTCTTGCCTTTTGAAGAAAAATGAAGACCATCATGTCAATTCAGTTCAAGGGTGGGTCTATTTCATACCTGGTCACTGACATGTGACTTCCATGCCAGCTTTGAAAATGGCCACTGGGAAAACGGTCACTAAAATGTGGCACATCCTGGGGTGGCGAGCAGCTGGAGCCGGCAGTGGTGGCAAAGTCGGCAGCTCAAGGCAGCAGCGGTGCGTGGCAGCCGCAACGGGTCCTATACAGCACTGACCATGGGGTGGTTGCCCCGATTCGCACCCACCTAGGGGCGGCCTCGATGAGGACAGCTCTATAGGAGATAGTCAGAAGGCTCAAGTGAAAGCAGGCACTATCCAAGCTTCATGCACACATTCAGATAATCTGGGAAGATTCTCCCAGGCTTGCTCTCCTGGTATAGAAACCTTACTTGGAGCTGCACGTACAGATATGCAAATGCTGAGGCTTTAAAGAGGGGAGAGCTTGCAGTGCTGATGCTGCTTTGCGCTCTCCCTTTAGTCTGCCTCGCAACAGGTGGCGGCAGTGCAGAGATCAGACCCAGATGCAGAAACGTTGTGTTTCTCTTCTGAGGGAAGCCACAGCATGTACAGACATTCACTCTCCCAGGAGAAACTCTCCTGGGAGTGCTTTAACTCTGGTTGCTCCCAGGTTATTTGTCTGCTGGAGTGGCCATTTTTATTCTGGGAGAAAAACCCTGAACATCTGTACACTCATGGTTTCTCCTGGGAGAGCAGTGACTCTCCCAGGAGAAACTGAATGTCTGTGTGAGACTCTAGATAGGTCTTCTCCCAACTCCTGTACTTATAAATCATGCTAATTACGACTGCTTTACAGTGATAGCCATGAACAGACCAGGGGATAGACCCTGTGCCCTGACACTGTCTTGCTAAGGTTTCAGCAACACCTTGGAGGCCTCACCTTCTAGCAGGCCTCTTTCCTTAGTTTTAATAAAGTCTCCGCTTCCAATCAAGTTACCCCTTTCCTCCCCATTCCTGGAAGCTAGCACCAGGCTGGGTTGAGCTGCCAGAACTGTGATGAGAAGGGATTTTTGAGGCCTTTGAAAATTGCACCTGGAGAATATACTAATTGACACATCTCCCAGGAATAGAGGAAGGTTTAAAGGGAGGTTCAACTTGGTGAAAGTGGTGAAATAGGGTACAGCTCCATGGGTCCCTGGGTGGTGGCTGGCAATTGGTTTTCTTATACAGTCATTCGAATCTGATTAGTTTCTTTTGTTATCCAGTGTGTATAAAAGATGAAACTGTCCTAGCACACTTCAGACACGAAACCCCTGCATGTTTTCCTTCTGGCAGCTGGTCTAATCAGCCAACTAACATTGCAGGCTCTCTGGTCATGCCTGCCAGTCACTTCCTTAGGTTTAATAAGTACTATGTGCAAGAAACCAGAGACCAAGTCAAACCATGCGGGGCTGGGACCCGGCCTGCCGAGCTATTTGCCACAGTATCTGGCTAGCGCATCATGCGTCTCTTCTGCATCAGGTCCTTGCCTTGAGACTTCCCAGCTCCCTCAGAGCTGTTGACTTCCTTTCTCAGAGGCAGCAAAACTCAAGCGAGCAGCTAATTGAGCTGCAGTTGTCATCCCTGCCATCAGCCTGCCCATGAATGGGTGAGAAGATCGCTTTGTTCCCTCTGTTGTAGCCCCCGGCTCTGAATAAAGCCAAGGCGTTGTGAGTGGAAATTATTTGTAATAGCCTGATACGCTAAATTTAGAGCTCAGAGAATTAAGAGGTCACCAGGAAATTGGTTTACACTCGGTACGTCTACACGTGCACATTTACTGTGCAGTAATTTAAGTTACTGAGCACTAACTGAAAAGTACTGCACAGTACAGGTGCGCGTCTACACACGCACACCTGTACTGCACAGTGATGATGGTGACTTGCACTGACTTGGGCATCAATTTGATACCTGCATGACTCCTAAGGTCCCTTCCAACCCTCATATTCTATGTATATGTATTTGTGTGTAATATATACACCCACATGTGTATATATTTGTGTGTGCAATGTGCACAGATTATATATAGTGTGTGTGTGTACACAGATGCACATGTATACATATAAGTACATACATACATGTATGTATGAAAATATATGCTATCAAGGAGGAGCCAACCTGTGTGTGTGTGTAGGTAATATATAGAGAGAGATTACACACAGCTATGGCTGATCTCCACAGGGTTGGGGAGTGATGGGCACCCCTTTCCCCCACACCTTGCTGTCCAGACCCCTGGGTCTGTGGAGAGCCCTGGGCAGCAGGGGGAAATGGTGCCCAGAAGGTGCTTAGCACCTGTCCTTTGACTGAGAAAATACCCCCACTTCTCCTTCCCCATTCATTCCTCCGTGTCCCTCGCCTTGGCTCAGCTTCTAGGGGGCTTCCAGCGCACCTTCCTGAGGCTGCTTCATGTGTTTGGTGGCTGCACAGACCTCGCAGCTCTGCTCTGCCGACCCACTCACAGGTCCTCTGTTTTTCTGCAGGGCATTTTCCAGGCCGTGTTCATTGGCCACGACTGGGGTGGCAGTGTGGTGTGGAACATGTCTCTCTTCTACCCGGAGCGAGTGAAGTAAGTCTTTTTGTGATCTCTCACCTAGTCATTAGCCTTGGAGGGAGTTCAGGAGCTCTCTGACCCACCCCCGTTCCTGCCCCGTCCACCCCTAATCGCTCCTGAAACAGGATAATTTTGGAACATATTGCTAAGGAAATGTCCCAGGTCCCGGCTATCACGATCAGTTTTTTGCTCGGTTAAGTCTCATTGGCCCAGCTAACATTGAATTTTGAAAATATTATTTGAAATGCATTTTTTCAGCCTGAAAAATGACTCTTGCCATCTTACTCACCAGTTCTGTCCCCCCCCTGTTTCCCGTGCCTCAGTTGTTCTGACTCTCGAGGGATAAAAGGGATTTTGGTGACTGGTGGCTGTGCAGAAGTGACACAGATTTTTTGTCTCTCTGAGTGGCTTCCTGTTAAATAACTACTGCTTTGCTAAGGAAATGCATGAGCGTTGTCTGAATACTGTCCTACTAGTTTCTTTGACAAAGAAATGTATTTAGTCTGGTGCCACTTGATGAATTTGATGTCAGTCCGTTGCTTGCTCCTGGCTAGACCTCTAGACCAGTACATGCCCGAGCTGCATCCAGCCCGTGGAGCAGAGTCCTCTGGCCTGATAGGGGTCCAAAAAGTTGGTGATACAGGGGAAGTAGCAGTGTTTATTGCCTTGACTCCAGGAGATAATTAATGCATCCACTGCTTCCCTGATGCTAAATTTTTGGACCCCCGGGGAGGCTGAACGACACGGCCCCGTGTGCCACATTGAGCTGGATCTAATGGTTCACAGGCCAGATCCAGCACGTAGGGTTGGTTTGTGCACCATGTCTAGCCCATGGACTGGATGCACCCCGCTCCTCCAGCCCACACCCAGGGAAGGTTGAGCACCCTTTTAAGCATCAGCTTTTTGGAGCAGAGCTGTGCTAGGTGATGCTGATGCTGGGGAAAGCTGGCCAGCTGTGAAGGCAGGCTTGCTATTTAGGCATAAGTATGGTGCAAACATTGTAATAAGCTGCCTCTTTGCATTATCCTGCGCGTCTGCTCTACTATCTCTCCTGGATACGCTAATGGGCTCCTTTCCACTTCTGACCCTCCATTAACGCTCTGCGTCAGAGACGTTTTTCTTGAGGCTACGGCTGGTCCTGCTGAGGTGGGGGCGCTGCCTGCCGAGCTGGCAGGGGAAAGCGAGGAAGGCGGTAGTAGATGCTGAGGGCTTGCTGATGTTACTGCAGCATGTGGGAGTCCTAAGCAAGGACCAGGCAGCTTGGTGAGAGGGCAGGGTGTAAGGAACATATTAGAGGCCTTGGCATAAGTGCCTCCATCTTGTAGACATCCTCCATTATATAAAGACTGGAACTAACTTTGGGTAACCTTGTAGAGAAATAGGTTTGCAAGGCCAGCGTCCATGTTTTTACTGATGTAAATACTGATTTAGGGGTTCACAGAAAGCAACTGAAACCCATGTCTATAAGGAAGAGCAAGCATTGTTCAGAGCAGTAGCTGAACTAATAACCTCTGAGGCCATCCTAGTTCAAGAGTTGTTAAGAACTTGTCCTAAATTCCCTGCTTTGCTGAGGTGTGGAGGTCTTTATGATCAACCCCTTGCATTGCCATAGACCCGATCAGGTTGTAGGTAGATGCATGTCATTAATGATTGTATGGAAACGATTTGTAAACCCGGGGGAAGTGGGGAATCGTAATCCTGAGCTGTGAAAGAACAGAGCAAGAGCCCGGCCTACACCCATCTTCCTAGGTGATAGTATGTCTTTGCATTTCCATTGCCTGGTCCGAATGCTAGTCACGCTCATGTTTAGCTCGCCAGTGAAGTGATGCTCTTGAGAAGAGACAAGTGCAGTCTCTCTTTATTCTGACAAAGTCATCTCCCTTTGTCCCAGTTTGGGGGTACAAGACTTCCCGTCCCAGAGGGGCACAGTTTTGGCAATCTAACACATGGATAATGGAGCCTGGGACCCTCAGCTGAGTACAAGTAGGTAGGAGCTAACCTTTAGTTAGTGCTGGGATGACCAGGTGAGAATGTGCCCTTGCAGATGAAGACAAATAGCTTATACTCCTGGAGGGATGAAACAACTGGAGTCCTGGGCTGGTACAATGCGCTTTGCAGCAGATTTGCTTTGTTGGTGACCAGTTTGGGTCTGGGGCTCTTTCTTCCAGTCCTCCCCCTCCCTGGGAAGCAGCACCCCCCAACAGGAAATGACCTGGACACATCCATGTGCCGATTGAGTGTTGCTCTGTTTAGGCCAACTTGGCTCTGGTGTTTCTCCCGTCTGAGAGCCCAGCTCATGTGCTCTCTGTGCCCCATGCGCACAGCAGTCTTCACTCACTGCCCGGCTCCTTGCTGCCATCCCAGCACAGAGGGCAGCTCTGCTGGCTTTTTAAAGGACAAACCTACCCCCCCCCCTCAATTAAGAAAAAAGGGTTATAAATTCCAGATACGATGCTCAGGTGCAACAGCTAGAAACACCTGCTTCTCCTTTCCCTGCTTCTGCTCTGCTTTCCTCTGCATGTACCTGCTGCTCCAGCTCCAGCATGCAGATTCCCAGGCTGAGTGAAGTCTGTGATGCCTCTGCCCCAATCCCTATTTCCTGCGTTACAGAGCCGTGGCTTCGCTGAACACTCCCTACAGACCTGCAAACCCCAACGTGGATATCATGGAGGCCATCAAAGCCCGTCCAGTCTTTGATTACCAGCTCTTTTTCCAGAAGCCGGTGAGTACAGACAAATGATTCTTCTGCCAAGTGTGCTGGTTGGGCTCTATTCATTTCTCTGACCGTACCAGGTGGTTGGAGGTTTGCAGAGGGGGGCAGTCCTAATTTTTAATTTAAGAAAATAGTTTTAAAAGTTTGGTGAACGGAAGCTGTGTTAAAGTAACGGAGTTTGGTGATGTGAATGGCATGAAGATTTTACGCCAGCTGAAGACCCAACTTCTAGTCTCGTGGGTGGAGCAGAAAGGTGAGGACCTGCTTGCACGGTGCAATGTTTATGGGCGTCTCCATTGGAAATGCCCATGCCTTGATTTACAGTTTACCACTGATGCTGGGGCTTATACTGGCTGGTAGGCTGCCTCCAACAGAGGACTCCAATAGAAGAGGACTGGCCCCAAGGATCATCATCTAATAATGGAAGAAGCCACAGGGCTTCCTCAAGGATCCTGAATTCAGGAGCTTGCTCGTGAGCTTTTGGAGACCCTCCCAAGTAGCTAGTTCTTGCTATCACTTCTGAAGCCATTGGGGCTTTTGCTGGAACGTGCTATGCAGGCATTACAGCTTACAAAGCATCACTGGGTTTTAAGGGGGGTTGTGTATATGCAGCAACAGTCTTGGACATAGGCAGCGGTCACAAATGGAGGTGACCGGCATGGACTGTGATGGTGACAAGGCCAAGAGGCTAGGAAAGGGTTTTGATGGCCTTTTGGAGCGCAGGCAAGGCCTGGAAAGCTTGAGAGGCTGTGACAGAGGAGCAAATGCAGGCTGGGCTAAGCAAGGATTGTCTTGCTAAGGTTTTTCTATGCCCTCATCCATCTTCTGGTCCAGTGCAGCTGGTAGGCACCCTGTTGTGGCAGTCATGACATGTACGTTATGATGCCCATGACAAATGTGTTGCATTTATTTCCTGGCTGCTAGGCCAGACTTCAACAAGGGCAGGTGCACCGCACCATGGTAAGCATTATCTAGCCCCTGGTCTTCAGTGTGGGGCTGTGAACAGGTCTGACCAGGCAGGGATGGGGACTGTGCTCTTACTCAGTCACCTCTTTGCAAGTGTGGCTGTACAAATCATTGCACCTCGCAGCAGGGGCGACCAGTCGGGCTGAGTTGGTTGAGGGTCTCCATGTCTTTTAGACCCTAGGAGGGAGTACACGAGAAGCACAAATACTGTGTTTGGAGCTGCACTTAGTCACGGCCCGCTGGTGGGAGCAGAATGAACTGCTTTTGACAGGGGGCATATGGAGAACGCAGTGCAAGGATGCTTGATTTTCAGCCGAAGCGATGCTCTCGTGGCCTGGGGACAGAGCACAGGACCATGCCAGAGTACGTCTCTGCTTTCTGGAGACAGGAGGCCGAACATGAGAAGCACAAATACTGTTTGGAGCATAGCATAGTGTCACGGCGGGGTCCTCGCGGAGGGCCGTGTGCTCCTTAAGGTCCCTCGCTCCGTGTCAGGCCGGCCCAAGGCACCCTCTAATTCCCGCTGGTGGGAGCAGAATGAACTGCTTTTGACAGGGGGCATATGGAGAACGCAGTGCAAGGATGCTTGATTTTCAGCCGAAGCGATGCTCTCGTGGCCTGGGGACAGAGCACAGGACCATGCCAGAGTACGTCTCTGCTTTCTGGAGACAGGAGGCCGAACATGAGAAGCACAAATACTGTTTGGAGCATAGCATAGCTCCAAACACAGCTAGGGGTCAGCTAGACAGCTGTTTGCCCACGTCTGTTGCACGCTTCTTGCCTCTACTATAATACCTTCCATCGTGGGATAAATGAAGAAGTAGAATAGTGTAACCTGGCACTAATGGCCTGGCATGTGCAAGACCCATGTCTAGTGGTTTTTCAACCTTGTTGGACTCAAGGCACCTCTGCAAAAATGCCAGCTCTGAGCTTCCACTCTTTTTTTTTTTTTTTGACTGCAGAAAAATTCTAGTGCAATTTTGCTGTTGCAAAGGCCCTGGCCAGCCCCGAGCAGGACAGGAGGGTTTGGGCATGGTAGATTCCTATGGGAAATCTCTGGATTTACTTTGTGAATCATGTACAGGTGTCTGTACACCTAACAGTGCTGGTAGTGTTCAGCATCCCATTGCATCCTTCAGGGGATTTCGTTGCACCCCCAGATGCTGCAGCCTCCTGGCTGAGAATCCTGCCTTCATCCATGCTCTGCTTTCCCGTTTGACCCCCGAATCCCCCATAGACAAATGACCTCCTTCCCTGATTGTAACGGGGGTACCAGCACTGCCTGCCCTCCCTCACGGGCTCTGAGACCGCTCATTACATTCCTGGTCTGGCACAGACTTGCCCTGTTGTCTTGGCTTAGTCAGGTCACAGTTGCCTCAGTTTACCCATTTCTAAAAGAAACAGGGATACCGATTGCATTTTGTATGGAAAGCACTTTTTTTCCCCATCATCTGCTGGCCAGCTGTGGCTTGGTGGCCCCATCCTGCCTGCCTTGCCTGAGTTTTGAGTCAAAAGCCTAATAGTGGAGTTGCAGCATGTGCTTAATCAATTGTTTTGAGCTTTCTGCTTAGTTTCCTAGTGAGCTGGGATCTATACAGTGGACCAAGTCTGCATTTGTCCCATGGGGAGTTGGCATAAGACTTGGTAGTGATAGAAACTGCTGAAGTGTGTTCTGTTGGAGCTTTTGCTGGCACCGCTCTGCCTGTCCTGTGAATGTGTTTGGGTCCCTGTGGGCATTTGCAGATCAACAGTCTTTAGCATCAGTGTCAAGCTGTGTCCACACACTTGCCATAAACCCACCTGGGGTTGCACAGATGTGAGCAGGCCTTGGCATGTCACGGCTCCGGACTGGCCACCTGTTCTTCATCACTGGACTGGGCAGCGAATTATTAATAATTGGTTGCTAATGGGAAGTGCATGGTAGCACGGTGTCCAGGCAGAGAGATGGAAATGGTCGGGTCTTCCGACACAAAGCGGTGTGTTGGTTGGGCTTCGTGCACCCCAGCTGTTCCCCTCCCAAGATTTGCCTACAGTGCACCCATCAGACTGAATCATGCGGTGGTGTTGCAGCGTGCATGCTGGGATGAGACCTGAAGCCTGCGAGGGCTTGAATCTGGACCATGGTGGGAGTTGTGTTGGTGGGACGATGTGCGGGAAGCAGAGGGGGAAGGAACAATTTCAGTCTCTAGGGCTGTCTTGCCTGCAGCAATGCTATATCAGAGCATCTGATGGAGGGGCCTGTGGCTCAGAAAAGCTTATGCATCACTGATTCAGGATATAAGGTGCACTTCTACCCTGCCTTCTGCCTGGCTTCAGCCTAACACAACTAAGTGCCTCTCTAATCACTGACACAGACAGGCTGGGCCCAGAAAGCATCGCTCTGTGAACATCTCCCTTTGATCCGGTGCTTTGCTCTTTGGGTTGAAGCTGGTCACTCCCGTTCCCTTGGGGCTGATTCTTCATCTCCCTTCATTGAAGATAGCTAAGGGCATCCTGGGCTGCATTGGTAGGAGTGATGTCAGCAGATGGAGGACAGTGATGCTTCCCCTCTATTCAGCACTGGGGAGGCCACATCTGGAGTCCTGTGTCCAGCTGTGGGCCCCCCCACTACAGAAAGGATGTGGACACATTGGAGAGAGTCCAGTGGAGGGCAATGAAAATGGCTGTGGGGCTGGGGGACAGGACTGGTGAGAAGAGGCTGAGGGAACTGGGCTGATTGAGTCTGCAGAAGAGAAGACCGAGGGGGATTGAATAGCAGCCTTCACCTCCCTGCAGGGGGGCTGCAAAGAGGATGGAGCTGGGCTGGTCTCAGTGGGGGCAGATGACAGGACAAGGAGCAATGGGCTCAAGCTGCAGCAAGGGAAGTTGAGGTTGGATATTAGGAAAAACTTTCCCACGAGGAGGGTGGTGAAGCACTGGACGAGGCTTCCCAGAGAGGTGGTGCAGTCTCCATCCTTGGAGGTGTTGAAGACCCGGGTAGACAAAGCCTTGTCTGGGATGATGCAGTTGGGGCTGGTCCTGCTTGGAGCAGGGGGTTGGACTAGATGTGACTTCCTGAGGTCCCTGCAACCCTCATTTTCTATGATTCTGTGATTCTCCTGGTCTGTCTTCTCTCTCCTTGTACCTGCTTCGCAGGCCTGGGTTCCCTCCTGGCATCCCTGGGTGCAGTGCCCGGCTCTCTCATTCTCCTATGCTGGACCTCCCTCTCCTGCTGGGGGTGGATCCTTACTCCCCATCTCCCTGGGGTGTCCCTAAAGAAGCATTTAAGCTCCTTCCCTGCCTTGTTCCAGGCTCTTGCAGCTCCTCATTCCTTCCAGCTCCCAGCGACTGCAGGAAAAATCACTATTTCCCAGCATTTCTTGGAGTGTGGTTTGCCAGTGGTTGCTGGGATAGGGAGCCAGGGCTCTTGGGTTTGGTCCCGGGCTCTGCTGCTAAATCCAGGTGCGAAAACACATGAAACCATCCTACTGCTTCAAAGGCGGCGATGCGCATACCGCCCAAATGGTTTCATCTGTCCTCTCTTTCCCGTGTTACATGGAAGCCAAACTGCAGTGAATTACGATGCATTTCATTTTGGGGGTAAATCACTGAAGCTGTGACAGATGTAACAGGGAATACCTCCACTGATGCATGCTCAAAAGTGGCAAGTATGTTCCTCTAAAGCAATGTGGTCGGTCTCTGCTCCCTCACTTGGGCAAGGTCCTCAACCTCTTCGTGCCTTGGTTTCCCTGGCTAAAAACGTGAGGATAGCACCCTGCTTTCCTATCGCGGCATGGAGGCATTTCCCCCACCAAAGCTTGCAGTTCACAATGCCCCTTGCAGGAGGTGCTGAAGTAGCCACGCAGGCCACCCCCCGGGCCACGTCCCCTATGCCTGGCACGTGCTGCAGCCATCCTTAAGGCCCTGAGCACGCGTGACGGGCAAGATTGATCTCCCTGCGCCGCGCCGTGGTACGCAGGCTGCTCGCATGCCGCTCACTTCCGAACAGCTGGAGCGTTAGAGCCTGTCGCTTGCTATTTATCCACGCTCTGCGCTGACGAGCGGTTGTGTTGTGCAGAGCCAAACGGACCTCCTGGCAGGCCCTACCTCGGTGGGGTTATTCAGGTGCTTGCAGTCTGAGCCCTCAGTGTTGGTGCATTGGGGAAGGGGCCAGTCTCCGGCAGGGTGAGAGGTGCCCCAGCCCTGCACGGCGTTGCTGAAAAGCAGCGCTGCCTTGGTGGCAGGGCTGAAGCCCCTTTCTTCTGAGCCCTTGGCTCTATGCCAGACCCCCTTGCACACACGAGTGCGAGCCCCCGCTTTAATGACACGCTGGGGGAAAGGACTTCCTCGTGTTGGTTTTAAACTGACTGCCTACTTGTTTCATTTTGTGACTCCCTAGTTCTTGCATGGTAAGAGACAGTCAATAATACACCCCTCTTGAATTTTTCTTCACCATTTAGTATGTTGTAAACCCTTCTCCGGTCCCCCCTCAAGCATCTCTTTTCTACACTGAACAGGCCTGGCCTCTTCAGCCTCTCCTCATATAGAAGCCACCTCCGTATGGATAATCATCTTTTTTGCCCTTCTCTGGACCTTCTCTAGTTCTTCCATATCTTTTTTTGAGTTGTGGGATCCAGCCTTGTTTTCACCTTGCCAAATGCCCAGGGCTCCTTGGGTCTGCCCAGCATGGACAGGAGGAGAGAGAAACCCTCCCTCCATCCCTGTAAATCCTTCTTCCCCCCCATCTTCGAACCACTGCACATCCCAGTATTCCCACTGGGCTTGCTGGGAGAGAGACCTTGTGGCTCGAAGCTGGTGTCTGCTGGCCTGGTACGTTGTCAGCGCCAGTGGAGCAGCTCAATGCAGCAAGATAATTGCCCAGTGCTGAACTAATTCATCTTTTCCTTCTCTTTTCTCCTGCGAGCATTCGGCTTCTTCCCAAACAAATTGCTCGTGGAATTGGCGCCTTGTTTTCGCTGATGGCTTGAGACCTCAAAAGCGGAGCCGAAGGGCCAGAGCCATTAGATATATTGCATTGGGGGTCTGCCCAACCAAGAGCCGGCTCAGACAGGCAGTCCCCTGGGTCTGGGACTGACTTCCGGAGGAGGTTGGGACAAGGTGGGTGGATGGCGTTAGGTGATGGATAGGAGCCAGGGTGAGCTTGGACCAGGAGACTTTCACAGCCCTTTCCAGCCCTATGAGTGTAAGATTGCAGCTGCCAGAGGTGTTTGCATTGCTCTGCTCAGTGCCTCTCTGTGATACGATTGAGGCTCAGTCCTCGAGGGTGGGTACATGTGCTACCAGACTGCTTCCCTGCCTGGCTCCTTCGCTGCCACTCTCCTTCTCCTTTCAGGGTTACAGCAGATGACTAGGAGCCAGGACTCCTGGGTTGTTTGGTATGGCTTAACTTCTCTCTCCACCTTGGTTTAACTCTATATCAGGGATGTATTGCCATGCTGCACGGTGGAGATCTTGGGTCAGGGAGCTGCGGAAACACAGAGGAGGGCGGTAGCAGAATTGAACCACCCTCTCAGCCTGGGATATGGATCCTCTAAGGGCACACAAACCCATTACTACAAAGGAATTTACCCTGGATTTTAATCCCTAGTAAATTGATTCCAGAGTAAGGAGCAGACACATGAGCAGTATCTCCCAAGTTAGATGCCCACTATAGGTGCGAGTATAGCACCTAGCCACTAAGGGGGGAGTTAGCCATTTTGCATTGAGCAAACAGCTGTCCCAGGATAAAACACGGACACGTGGTATGGAAGCTACTGAGCACGTCTACATGTGATGCTTTAATGTGCGTTAGCCTAAATTAATTCAGATTAAGGGCGTGTGTCTACATATGTGTGCCCTAATGCACATTAAAAATGGCAGATTTAAGCTATTTGCACTTAAATTTGATCCCTGCAAATGCAGGGATCAAATTTAGGCGCAGATAGTTAAAGCGCATTAATGCACATGTAGACCTGTTAAAGTGCATTAACAATGTGCGTGGGGACTGACTTGGGACCAACTTGAGTCTCAAGTCAGTCCACACGCAACGTTAATGTGCTTTAGCACCTGCACATGTAGGTGCCTGCCTAAACCCGCTTAATGTGCATTAGGCTAATGCTCATTAAATTTAGGCGCTCTTAAATGCACGTGTAGACACACCCAGTGTGTGTTACTCAGGTAGTTTGATCCTGGATTCGAGTGATTTGCTCCATAGTAAAGCGTGTTTGCATGCGTGTCTGCCTCACTCTTATTAGGTAGCAGTCAGTTTACTCCAGAGTAAGCATCTCATGCGTCTGATCCCTGATCGGGTTGGAGGAACACCATCTTCCACGCTGTCTCCATCCTCCCTAACCTGTGTCATGTGCCTGTTTTAGCCAATCACTGCACAGCCAGCTGTCCCTGGCAATACGGGCCAGGTCTCACCAGGTGACCCAGAGATTCAGCAGCTCCATAATCCATTCCCCAAAGCCCTGATCTGTAGGCTTCTTAGACTAAGATGGCTCCATGTTACCCCACTGATGCCTGGCACCGAGAAGACCTCTCTCCACAGAGGCCCATTGGGAATCTTGTTTGCACTGGTTGACTTTAAAGCTGCTGGGTTTTTATTTCCCTCTCAGGGGGTGGCCGAGGCCGAGCTGGAGGAGGACCTGGCCAGGACGTTCAAGACCATGGTGCGGTCCATCAAGAAGGAGGTAGGTCTGGACATGTGGCTGCATAGGGAGGGGTCTGGGGGCAACTTCAACTTCACGGGCAGCAAAGGCAGGGGATCCAGTCCTGACTTTCCTGAGACTAGTCCCTCAGGTTGCATCAGTAGATGGCCTTCTTTGTAGCCAAAGCTTCCCACTTGCAAGCCAAAGGATGAGCAGACAGGCACGGAGGAAGAAGAGACATGGTAATGCTGCTCCCTCTTGTGTCCCCTGGCTGGACGTCCTAAGTATGAAAGTCACTTAAGTGCTGGTGCTGGCGACTTCCTCCATCTCCTTCACCCTCTTTCCCACCTTCCTCTTCTCCCTGCTGCCCTCACCCACCAGTCAGGAGCTGGAAGCTCTGGTGAGACATCTGGATTTACACGATGCTCATTTAATGCTGGAACGTACGTTGCCAACAGTAGGCTTCAGAGTCAGCACGCTAGGAAAATGAAGAGCATCTGCATTCACCCCACTCTTGGGGGTAATATTTTGGGCTCGCTTTGGATGTAGGCAGACAGCAGTGTGTTGGCTTGCATCCATGTCCTGCCCTGATGTTCTCGCTGTCAGCCGCCTGTCCTCATGGATAATGGGGCAGACAATGCCTGGGACATGCATCCCCCCACTGAAACGCTCTTCAAGGGCTTCCTGAGGTCTTTCAGTAGCTCTTCTGCAAGAGCATCATCAATACAAATAACTTCATTAACCTCGAACGGCAGCTCTAAATAGTCACTAGGCACTTCAGGGCAAAACCCTTCTTTCCTGAGTCTAAGAGGCAGCAACTCCGGAGTTACCATTCCAAGGTTGTTGCATTGGGAGGGGGAATATGTTTAAATCCCAGCTCCCTCCCTGCCTGGCCTTGGGTTGCAAGGTCCTTGACTGTTGTGCTCCGTGTTATTGATGGAGACGGGCGGTAAGGCTGTTTACCTAAATCAAGGCACATACAGCCCATCACAGCTGCCCTGTGGGGGTCTCGACCAGCTCCTGGCATCAGTCCCAAGGAGGGCTGGGAATTGGTGCCAGCTCTCGGATCAGGAGCAAAGCAGGGAACATCTCTTTCCTCCTTTGTCCCAGCAGAAAGTAAGGTCCCTCCCAGGCTGGTCCAAGGGAGGATGGAGGGAGGCAGGTCAGCTCCTACATGCACGGCTTGGCTCGGGTGGTCTCTCCGCCACATGCACCGTCCGACGTACCGCAGGCTTGTAAGAGCAGCCTCTGTCCTGAATGCAAAGTGCAGAGCTATGGGCATGTCAGGATCTAAGCTCACGTTGACCGGAGCCAGCTCACTGCCTGCCTGATGCACCCGGGGTAATGGCAGTCCTTACCCCGAAGGTCCTGCCCTTGTTATCTGGCTTGGTCAGAGCAATTTATTTTGTTGCAGTGTCTCAGCTTGGCATGGGGAGCCCTGGCTTTCTAGGACTGAGGCACCCAGCAGATGGCTTTGAAAGAGCATTGAGCCCTGCGTGCTTGGAGCTGCACCTCCTGCCCCGCTCTCATCTGGGTTCGGTGGGTTAGGGAGCTCTGCTTCCCCAGCATGCTTTGGCCATTCGTTGGGCTAGGAGGGGCTGGGTGAGGTACACAAGGTCCGCGGGCCATAGAGGCACCTCGGTGTTAGCTCTGGGGGGTGATCCCCTTGCCCTCTTCTCTGGATACCTGGAGATGACTTAACCTGCGGCTGGAGCTGCTCCACACGCCCTCCTTGCCTGGCTACGCGCCCAGCCATGATCTTCAAGGGAAGTGCACACAGACACAAGGAGGTTTTCTGGGCTCTTGACAGACATGCAGGTGAAGCTGCAATGGGATCTGATGTGGGATCTCTTGCCATGCCGCCCTTGGGTGTTTCTGATGCACTGGGTGTTGTGCCTTGCAATAGACAGTGAGGGTTGGAAGGAGCTCACATCTAGTCCAGCCCCCTGCTCCAAGCAGGACCAGCCCCACCTACATCATCCCAGTCAAGGCTTTGTCTCCCCGGGTCTTCATCACCTCCAAGGATGAAGATGGAGCCCGTTCCAGCAGGAGAGTTTGCAGTGAAGGCTTTGGGGATATCTTGGGTCTCTGTGAACGCAGGGGGCTGGACTTGATGTCCCAGCTGGCACCCTCCAGCCCATGTTCCCCTGAGTTTCAAGAATGGGTCCCCAGCCCCTACATTTCTGTGGGCAGCCTTGCCTGGAGCTCTCGTCATGCCCGTTAAAGACACGAGTGGGACCCATTGAACAGTAACGACATGGGGGAGGAGAAGGAAACAACCTCCTGCCTGATGGGCCTGAACCCCCAGAGGGTCCTGATTGCCCCAGACCCCTTTGGCACCATCTCTCCTCTTTCCCAGAAGCTGCATGTGTGATCTCACAGGCTCCCATGTCCTTTGGACTAATTCTCCTCTTTCGGCAGCTCTTTCATGCTCTGGTACAAGCTGTGAAACCTGTCTTCATTGCCCGAGGCTCTGTTTGCCCCACTGTGCAATTTGCCTTGCTTTGCATGCATGCCAACGAGCTCCCTCGTGGCTGGCTTAGTTTCCAGCTCCATTCCTCAAAGGCCTTGGCTGTTAATAAATGCTGCATTTCCAGGCTGGTTAGGTTCTCATTCAGGTGCAGCTGATGTCTTTAATTGCGAATGGGATCCTGGGGTGGAACAAACCAGCATCTACAGGGAACAGATGTAGGGGGGAGATGGGATAACTGGGAAGAGTCAGAGAGGAGTGGGGCTGGAGAGGACTTTGAGAAGTCATCCAGTCCAACCCCCTGCCCGAGGCGCGGCGCTGGGATTTCCTCTCCCTCCTCAATTCCATGCAGATGGGCTTGACGTCCAACTCCAAACTGGGCCGTAGCCCTGCGATTTTTGTAGGGGGAGAGGGGTGCTAGCAAGGGCAGCATCATCTCCGGCGCTCAGTGCCATAGTCATGTCCATTCCCAGCAAGTTGCAATCAGGCTTATGGCACTGGGGAAATCGCAAGAGGCCTCTTAGATCATTGCACCCATCCAGGTGCCTGTATTGTGCTTCTCCCGTAGGGAGTGCAGTCCCAGCACTGGCCTTCACCGAGTATCCTTTAGACCAGGAGCGCTCAGTGGGCTGGATCCAGCCTGCGAGGCCATGTCATCCAGCCTGAGGGTCCCCCGATAGGTCCAGAACCCTGATGGTGGTGTGAATTGCCATTCCCCTGCTGCCAAATTTCTGAACCCATGGGCCCAAACTCACCGTGCACCACTTCTCCGGGCCGTGGGGCTGGAAGTTTGAGCATCGCTTCTGTGGAGCCATTACTAATGGGGTGGGGACATCTGTCTGCTCCAGTTGGAGGTTTCCGGGTGTATCTTGTTGTGTGCCGAACAGTGTGAACATGGCGCGGTACCCTGCAGCACCCTTGGCAGGATCTCAAGGCACCCCAGGGTGTGGCTGCACCCTGGTTGAGGATCCCTGGTCTAAAGGGATCCACCCCTATTGAGAGGTGTTTGGCAAACCAGTTGGACATCCCTACACCAACGCTGGTGGAGACCAGGGAGGGTCGGACGGGGATGCATCGCTCTAGATACACCCTGTTCATCTGCTCTCTCTCTAAGATGTCTGCTGCCAGTGTCAGAGATGGGGTGCTGGGCTCAATCAGTGGTAATTAATGGTTTTGGCAGGCATGCCATGGACTAAGCCTCCACCCCTCTTTCCTGCAGGCTTATCTAATGGTTTCCCCACTGAAAGGTGCCCCAGCTGAGACCCAGGTTCATCTTTCCATGGCCCTGCAGTGATGGCAATTTTATATGGCAAGCGAGGATCCAAAGCCTTGAATATGGTGGCCCTTGGTCATGACACCTGATGTCTCTCGCAGCAGCATCCTGCCCTTTCCTCCACCCCAAACCCTGCATGGCCAGAGTCTCAAGCCCCCCCTGCCTCCATCCCGGTACCTTCCTCTACTCGCATGCAGTTTTCACATGCTGTGCAGTGGCATGCGTGCCATGGGTTGGCCACCCCTGATCTGGATGGACCATGGGTCTGACCCAGTGTGGCACTGCTTATATTTGTACTCCCTTCCTTGCACCTGTCGTGAACTGTTCTCACATCCCCACCATCTCCCCTTGGCTTCATGCCTCAGTCAGCACCAAAGCGCATCCATCTATCCCATTTTGGGGGCTCTGCGCTGCCCCTTTCCTCTGCCAGGCTGATCTGGGCTAATTAGAGGTGCTTCCCTTTCAGGACTCGTTGCCCGTCCCGCTCGAACTCAACAATGTCCAGCAACGAGGTAAGGCTGTGTCCAGTTTTGGGCCCCCTACTACAGAAAGGATGTGGACACACTGGAGAGAGTCCAGCAGAGGGCAAAGAAAATGGTTGTGGGACTGGGGGACATGACTGGTGAGGAGTGGCTGAGGGAACTGGGCTGGTTTAGTCTGGAGAAGAGAAGACAAGAGGCGGGACTGAAGAGCAGCCTTCACCTCCCTGCAGGGGGGCTGCAAAGAGGATGGAGCTGGACTGGTCTCAGTCAGGGCAGATGACAGGACAAGGAGCAATGGGCTCCAGCTGCAGCAAGGGAAGTTGAGGTTGGATATTAGGAAAAACTTTCTCACTAGGAAGGTGGTGAAACACTAAGACAGGCTCCCCAGAGTGGTGGAGTCTTGAACCTTGGAGGTTTTGAAACCCCAACTAGACAAAGCCTTGTCTGGGATGATGTAGTTGGGGCTGGTCCTGCTCTGAGCAGGGGGTGGAAGAGATGTGACCTCCTGAGGTCCCTTAATTTTCAAATTTAATTTTCTATGACTCCACAGTTCTATGACAACCTGTTAAATGGGTACTTTGCATCCGCTTTTCATCAGTCCCATGGGACGCCCCTGCCCATTATGGGACAGGGAGGTCTGGGTGAGGGCGAGTCCTTGCCCTCCATTGAAGCTGACCCCGTGAAGGAACACCTTGAGAGGCTGGATACCTTCAAGTCAGCCGGCCCGGACGGGTTACACCCCAGGGTGCTCAAGGAGCTGGCGAGCATCGTAGCTCAGCCCCTGGCACAGATCTTCAAGAGCTCTTGGCGCTCTGGTGAAGTGCCCGAAGACTGGAAGAAGGCCAATGTTGTGCCAGTCTTCAAGAAAGGGAGGAAAGTAGATCCAGCAAATTACAGGCCCATCAGCCTGACTTCTATCCTGGGGAAGGTCTTGGAAAAGATTATTAAAGAGGCCATCCTTAACAGACTAGCTGACAGCAATATCCTGAGGGATAGCCAGCATGGGTTTGTTGCGGGTAGGTCTTGCTTGACCAATCTCATTTCCTTCTACGACCAGGTGACCTATCACCTGGACAAGGGAGAAGAGATTGATGTCATATATCTTGACTTCAAAAAAGCCTTTGACCTGGTTTCCCATAATC